TGAGTTTAAAATTTTTATCTCGCACGTGCATAGAGAATATCCCTGCAAAGTTTCAGCTTTCTACGTGGTTCGCGAAATCGTTTCTCGCCAACATATTTTTTTGGGGGTCCAGTACGCGGGGTCTAGGCGCCTACGAGAAGTTCTTAAAGCGGGAGGATGACACACGGGGTAGGGACATATTTCCAAAGTTTCAGCCTCCCAGTTTTCCTGGCTGCTGAGATGAAAGTAGGTGACAAAATGCACTCGCTTTTCGAATACACGCACAGACAGCCTCTCGACAATATGCGTTTTTACTGGCTGTAGCAGCGCTGTAGCGCTGCATAGCAAAAACGCATAGCAATGAAAAAGCTCTGGGTGCAAAGTTGTTTTTTTTTACAGCTCGCGCACTGCAGGACCGACACTGGCTTTATACCAGACACGAAATTTCTCTTGTTTGGATTTGAGAGTGTTTTTGGTTTAACTGGGAAGGTTAATTCTGAGGTATTCAGACGAAAATGTTTTGTCTGTGAGTAAAACGTTGCAATTGCAGCTTATCGGCGTAACGTGTTTAGCACTTGGTGTTTATCTGTGCATCAAGGATCCGAGGCCAATCTCCGAATGGGCCGATGTATTTCTGAATCCTGCTGTAATGCTCACTATAATTGGGCTTGCCATGTGTATCGTTTCGCTAATGGGATCTCTTGGTGCGCTAAGGGATAATATTGTTTTGCTCAAAACGGTTCCTTTATGTTTTCTGCTATTTTCATAAGTTTTTTCATTGTAAGATTCTGAATTTTTGGAATTTTTGATGTGCTGAATAAGCGCAAAACCGCTGTGACGTGGTGGAACCAACTCGCGCTTGTTGTATTCGCACTCTTCAAGTTCGCATTGGTTGATGATAGAAATGCGTAATTATGTCGCATCAGTGGTGCTAGCGACGTTTCCTCCTTTGTTCAGAAACGCCAAAGAAATGGGTAATTGAATGCGAAGAACTAATCCTTGCAAAAAATTTCAGTTTGCGCTCAGTGTTTTCTTCTGCTATATTGTCATTGTGATATTCACATTCTTGTTATTTATACTGTTTTATTCCGATACAACAGAAGGCCTTTCCGCGCATAGCATACTCATTTATTCAATCAAAAATTATCATACCAATAGGAATCTGGCTGACTTCGTTGATTACATTCAGGAACAGGTGAATTTTCCCCGTATTTCTTTATCTTTCTACCAATTAAAAAAATATATATACGAAGATGATGCTTTATTTTGAAC